AAAACGATTTTCAATTTTTTTGTAGTTTATTGCACTTTTTTGCAATTTATGTAATTACTATGCACTTAATGCAGACATATTATTAAAATTTGGGCTATAATGGTTGTATTGATGTATATCAACTTGAAATGCTCCCAAAAATGGCTCCACAACATGTAAAAATATAATATAAGCTCTGGGGACTTGGTTCTATGGTAGGTCTTAAAGGGTTAAAGAACTTATTTTAACATTGCACTCGACAACAAAAAAGACTTCAAGGGCCAAATTGCAATATATTTCTTCACATCAAGTAGAGGTGACGTGGGCCGCAAGTGGCTGCAAGTTTGTAGCTACCACAATGACTCTGTCACACATCAGTCATGAGAAGAATTTAGTTCCTGTAGAAAGAGAAGAAAGTTATTTTTATATGTAAAGTATAGAAATGAGTGCACTGAGTGAATTTGCTATTTTATGACATTTGTACACATATGCGTGAGTGTGTATTATTTCATGATACTGTTGAAAAAAACTCAGTTGTTCACATCTTCAACCAACTTAAAGAAGTCCAGACGCTTTTTTTCTCCAAGCTCCTTAGACTACGATGACCTGGATGACTGAGGACTTTCACAGACAGGTGTTCACATTAAACTTAGTAACTCAGTGTGAATGCTGTACAAGACAAAAATACTTCAACTATATTTTGTTTATTGATTGCATTTTTATAATTATTTTATTAATGATCAATGATGTGAGATATAATGAATTATTAATAAAGGTGATACCTGACAGTGCAGTGACATATTTTAGCTCCGTGGCTGGTGCTCTTTGTTTTCTTTTTCTGCTTTTTTGTACTTCAGTTTTATTGTTTTACACCCATTGTGTGTAAACAATGAAAACTTCACAAGAGTGAACATCTTCATTGATATTTATATTATTTATATTATTTTTATATTATATTTATTTGTAAGCATACAAAGGAGTGCAATGAGTGAATCTGCTATTTTATGACACTTGTACACATCTGGGTGATACTGCTGAAGAAAAATTCCGTTGTTCATATTAAACTTGTTGGCTCTTCAGGCCTGGAGTTCGACAGCCCTGATTTAAAACAACAGTAATATCTGGTATCAGTTTGTGTCAAAGAAACCTTTACATTGACTCATTTGCCTTGTAATGAACACTAACAAATACTTCATAGGAAAAGTAAAAATTTGAGATGATTGGTTGTTCTAGTTCAGTGTTTCTTAAAGTGTGGTACGCGTACGCTTAGGCTTACCAGCTTGCACCAGCAACTGTCGGAGGAAGTCTTGAGTGAAGAGGAATCTGCCGTCATCCATTCCTAGCAAGGACAGCATGCTCTCCGTGACCTCGAGAGTGGTACCATCACCCAGGCCTGAGAGAGAGAGGAGTTTCTTGGCCCACTCTGCATCGGAGAGGGAGTAGCAACGCTGCAGCACCTTGACAGCGGTGTATTTCCCTTGAGATCCTAGATGACTGTCATCACATGGCGGGTGGACAGTGGATCCAGCAAGGCAACCACATGGTGGTATTTCGTGCCATTGGCCAAAATCCCACCAGAGGTGATCTCCCCCAGCCTCACTTGTTGCTTTCTATCTGTCAGGAAGCTGGTGATCCACTGACAGGTAGCTGGTGACACGCTGAGCTGGGAGAGTTTGGAGGAGAGAAGTTCAGGCACGATGGTGTTAAAAGCCGAA